TCGCCCCCTTATAAAGTATCCTAAACTATTTGCGCCCCGCTTTTGCGCAGGGGTTGGGTACGTCGCCAGGGTAATTTTTGGACATCCAGCTTTGAAATCCTAAGGAAACCAAAAGTTGCTGAAGGATTTCAACATGCGCGCGCGACGACGCGCGCGCACTTCCTCTCATTTGGTGCGAAGACACTCTTGACGAGTAAAGATTTGCGATCAAGGAGCGCGCGCGCATAATAGTTTTGGCACGGGGTGGCGGGAAGGGGGGCGACGCCGGCTCCCCTGGGATGGTGCGAATTCTTATTTCGGATGGACGATGGGGCCGAATCGTATGTAAATTGCTTTATGACAAGGGGCGATGATAATCCCAGGGGGTCTATTCTCTTTTTTAGAAAGGAGAACCTATGCGGTGCATGGTGCGATGTACGCGACGCAATAGAATAGGTTCAATCGTTGCGTTGCAAAGCAATTCAAAGCGAGGCAACGCAACGCAAAGCACGGCATACCATTACAAAGCAATTCGAAGCAATGCAGGCCGAGACGACGGACGGCGACGAGGCGGCGACGAGGCGGCGACGGCGGCAACATCTGCCAGACAGCTACCCAGGCCCAGGCGAGGGGCGGCGACGAGACGGCAACAGGGCGGCGATGGCGGCAACATAGCCGCTAGAGCGGCGGACAAGCCCAGACGACGGGCGGCGACGCGGCGGCGACGGGGCGGCGACGACGGTGACATAGCCGCCAAACCGCCACCCAGACCCAGACGACGGGCGGCGACGAGGCGGCGACGGAGCGGCGACGGCGGCAACACAGCCGCTGGGACCGCCACAAAAGCCCAGTTTCTTCCTCCAGAAGTAAGAACCCCGAAGTGCAAGCACTGCTCGGGGACTATACGTATTGAAAATATGCGTATAGATATGCCGCCACGGTTTCGCAACGGGCAGCGCAATGATGCTTCGAGATCGGCAAAGTGCCAAGCGAGCACGATCGTGGCATCACTGGCATGTACTTGATGAGAACACTACTTCAAACGTACTTTCGGCCAATACGGCCCGCGGCCCAAGTCAGAGCCATAGCAGCGACGAGCAACGGCGCTACACACATGAGCACTACGCCGAGGCAAGAACATGGCTCTACCTAAGCACGTCGCAAAACAAATATGGATCGAAACCTGCAGCATTTCCCCAAAAAGGGCCTCCAGAGCCCCGCCTTTCTGTTTCCGGTTCCCCCGAATTAACTGATTTAGACTTGGCCCAACTCACCAGAAGCCTTGTCTTCGAATGTTTGCAAATGTGGATCCTAAGCAGTGGGGCCTTGCTCTCTCGCAGTGAACTGTACGCGGCGCCGTCTCTTTAATGCAATAATGTGGCGCAGGACAAGCGATGCAACCTACGTCGTGCAAACTACGCGTCCCAATCTTTATGGCGCAGACACTTCGGCAAAATCTATGGAATGCAATTAATTTCTGACCGTCTTGAAACTGTCCTCTCAACTGCTCGTGCAAACATCCCACCCTCCCACCCGCAGCTTGGTCGCAAGACCTCTTAAGACAAGACCGTGACGGTAGGTACCAGATGGCACTTGGCCACGACACCGACGCCGACGACGACAGCGACAACGACGACGACGGCGCCGCCGACACCGACGACGACACCGACGACGCCTCCAACGACTTCGACGACGACAGCGACCACGACGACGACGACACCGACGACGACGACGACGCCGACGACGACGATGACAACGACGACGAAGACGCCGACGACGACGACGCCGACGACGACGACGAAGACAACGACGACGACGACGACGACAACGACGTCGCCAACGACGACGACGACGAGGAAGGAGGGAGGACGGCGACGGCGGCAACGACGACAACGACGACAACGACGAGGGAGGAGGGAGGACGGCGACGACGCGAACGACGAAGAAGGAGGAAGGACGTCGACGCCGACGACGACAACGACGAGGGAGGAAGGAAGACGACGACGACGCAAGAGCGCGCGCGCACGCTTTTGTTGAAAATCGGTGTTGCGAAACCTTTGGTTTTTGTAGGTTTTTGGGACACACGAGTTTGAAACCCTTCCGAAACCGATGGGTTTTGAAGGATTTCGGCATACGCGCGCGACGACGCGCGCGTCTGCACTTCGTCCCATGTTTTGCAGAGGGTTCTCGCGACGGCACACGCGCAAGGGCGTTCGACAGATTTCAACATGCGCGCGCGAAGCCCGTTTGGTAGCATTTTGTGAAAATCTTGAAAAACCTATGGTTTTCTTAAGACTTCGCAAGAGCTCGCGCGGAAGCTTTTTTAGCAAATCAGTGTTGCGAAACCCTGTGTTTTTGTATGTCTTTTGGAGACTCGATTGCGAAATCCTTCCTGCACCGGAGGTTTTTGAAGGATTCTGGCATGCGCGCGCGACGACGCGCGCGTGTGCACGTCGCCACATGTTTCGACCGATTCGCGAAAAAATGCTATGTTAGAACAAAAAATGTCACCGCATAATGTTTGTCATATATGATTTACAGATCCGAGAGGGGTACCGATAACGCCGGGGGGGGGGGGGGGGGCAGATCCTATTCTGCTTTTAGAAAGGAGAATCCACTCTGCTGAACTTGAAGTCGTCATTTCCACTGCTCGCGCAAACATCCCACCCACCCACCCGCAACTTGGTTTGCAAAACCTCTTAAGACCGACTGCGACGACCCCGACGACAACGACGACGACGACGACACCGACGACGTCTCCGACGACTTCGGCGACGACAACGACGGCGACGCCGACGACGACGAAGACGACGACTACGACGCCAACGAAGACGACGACGAGGGAGGAGGAAGGACGACGACGGCGACAATGACGACAACGACGACAACGACGAGGGAGGAGGGAGGACGGCGACGACGCGAACGACGAAGAAGGAGGACGGACGGCGACGCTGACGACGACAACGACGAGGGAGGACGGAAGACGACGACGACAATGACGACGACGACGACGGCGACGAAATAAGAGGGACGACGACGAGACGCCGACGACGGACAACGACGACGACGAGGGAGAAGGAGGAAGGACGACCACGGCGACAACAACGACGGAAACGACCACGACGCCAAAGAGGACGACGACGACGAACACGAGGAAAGACCGAGGACGACGTAGGCGACGACGACAACAACGACGCGGGAGGAGGGAGGACGGCGACGGCGACAACGACGACGCAAGAGCGCGCGCGCACGCTTTTGTTGAAAATCCGTGTTGCGAAACCTTGGGTTTTTGTAGGTTTTTGGGACACACGAGTTTGAAATCCTTCCGGAACCGATGGGTTTTTGAAGGTTTTCAGCATACGCGCGCGACGACGCGCGCGTCTGCACTTCCTCTAATTTTTTGCAGAGGGTTCTCGCGACGGCACACGCGCAAGGGCGTTCGACAGATTTCAACATGCGCGCGCGCGAAGCCCGTTTGGTAGCATCTTGTGAAAATCTTGAAAAACCTATGGTTTTCTTAAGACTTCGCAAGAGCTCGCGCGGAAGCTTTTTTAGCAAATCAGTGTTGCGAAGCCCTGTGTTTTTGTATGTTTTCTGGAAACTCGATTGCGAAATCCCTCCGGCACCGAAGTGTTTGAAGGATTCCGGCATGCGCGCGCGACGACGCGCGCGTGTGCACTTCGCCACATGTTGACAAGGGATTCGCGAAAAAGTCCTATGCTAGAGCAAAAAATGTCACCGCATAATGTTTTTTCACAAAAGGAACCTCAGGGAGGGATACCGGCCGGCCTGGGACATTGTGAGTTCATACTTAGGATGGACATGTGGTCATAATCATTTATGATTTACATACCCGAAAGGGGTACCGATAACGCCGGGGGGGTAGATCCTATTCTGTTTTTAGAAAGGAGAATCTGATTGCAATATATGTGATGCACGCTATGTCATCTGGCACGATCATGGTATATTCGGTTCGAACTGCGTGGTAAACAACTATGTGGTGTAAGTTGTGCGTGCATGCTGGAACTCGAACCAAAGCCCGAGGTGCCCGCGGTCGCCCACGAGCCGGAAGTCCGGAAGCGCCAGACAGCACAGCGAACGGGACGCCTGAGCCGGGTAGCGCAGGCCAGGTACCTGGTAACAGAACTGACCAACCAACGCTCACTGCAAGCACTGTTACTAGGGGATCTCCTGCGGATTCATTCGCGCGGCCGCGTCTGTGCACACACGTCTCGCTCGGGCTGCTGCTGCTGCTGCTGCTGCTGCGCACTGCTTGCTCATCGCCTCGGTTTGAGGGCGGGGCGTCTTCCTCCTCCTCCTGCTCCCTGGCGGCGACGGTCACTCCCCGAGGCTGCCATGCTCAGGGTTATGCTTCGACCATGCAAACAAAGACGGGTCACAGGACGAAGCAAAGAGCCGGCTGACAGAAGACGCTGCAGTACCGAGCGGCAGCAGCAGCCCAAGCAGGTGGACAGCGATGCGCTCCTCGCCCGTGCCAGCTCCACCCGATCTGCCCATGGCGCGCGCTGCGGTTTTGTGTGCCCAGAGCTTCCACACCCTGGCGAGAAAATATCAGAAGTGGTGGGCGGCAGCGATTGGCAGAATACGTGGGCAGGGAAGGAGGGCGAGCGCTCGGCGTGGAAAACACGGCGCGGCGAGCGTTGAAATTAACGTGACGCTATGGCACCAGAAGAACCAGTGAACGCATGAAGAGTGAAAGAGAGATAGAGAGAGGGATAGAGACACGGGCGAAATGCATACTGTCAGGAGAGCACAAGGGGGAGAGGCGACATGAGAGAGGCAGGCAACGAGAGCACGGCAAGCGAAAGTCCAAAATCGAGAAAATCGAAAGCCACAACGCGATAAACGTGGGAATTGGGTCGACTTGGGCGCGAAAGGCCTCAGCTCAGGAAGCCTAGATCGCCAAAGTCGGGGTCCAGCCTTTTGACCCGACTTCCTTGCAAATGCGATTGCGCAAGCGCACATAGGCGCCCGAGGCGACGGTCACTCGCGGGGGTCGCCGATTCCAGTCGGACGCGTCACAGCCGAGGTTGCGGATGAGGTCGTCAAGAATTTTGGCGATCCTCCCCGGAACGCACGCGGTACCAGGCCATATGGGGGGGAGGGATTGTCCTCTCGCGGCGCCGCGTCTCCAGCTGCCAGGGGAGGGAAAGGAAAGGGAAGATCTGGGACAGGGGGGCCAGAGCTACGTCAGCAAGGGGAAGGGAGAGGGAGTATTTATGGGGAGCGGGAAGGCAAGGGAAGGAGATGGACAAGTGCCTTGGAGACGGGGGTGGGGGGATGTGGATGGGGAGGGGCGGGGGGGCAAGCGGGAGAAAGAAGAGAGCAGGGAGCGGGAGGAGGGAGAAGGGGGAAGGCTGGGGGTGAAGGGGGGAGAAGAGGGGGGGGGGCTGATGACTTTTAGATTGAGGACAGGGGGGATGGAAGAAAACGGGGGTGGCTGATTACTGCGAGAATGAGAAGAGGGTGAAGCGGGAAGAAGAGGGGGGGCTAATTACTTTGAGATAGCGAAGAGGGGGAGGCTGATTACTCGGGGCCTCGCTCGCGGCGTGAGAGAGCCAGGACCACCAGACACGGGTGCACACGCGAAGGAGAAGCATTACCAGAAATGATGCATGGATTCTGAGGGTGTACCACTCCTGCCCTGGAGTCTAGCGCATCTCCAGGTGCTTGGGACATGTAAGAAAAACGGCCCTCGTGGTGAAGGCACTGACGGGTCCAGTGGCATCCTGTCGCACATTGTTACTTGCGGACAAACAGCAAACGCGTGGATAACGCGGTGGGTGACCAAAGCAGGCAACGTGTCCTCAACGGACTGTCAAAATTATTATCAACTAGAGGGCACCTGCAGTGCCCAGCCTGTAGCAAGAAAAGCCCTGACGCCTATCCGCAAGTCGGGGGGCTCCAGCCATAAAACCGTATACGCAATCGACGCGTCGCGAGCTTCTCGAAGAAAGTCGAGGACATGGCCTCCCTGGAATAAGACTGCTAAGGGGAGGGAGAACACAGGCGAACACTCTCGAGGAGGCAGGGGTGTCCTCGCCCAGAAACGGAACAGTAAGTCGCTTCAGGAGAGGAAGGTCAGTAAAGATGCTCTCCCGACCTATGTAGCAGCACCCGCCCCAGGGTCTGTCTCAACCCGCGAGCTCGGGGAGGTGGCCCTGGCGGGGTCGGCGCGGGTCAGGTCAGGAGCGGTCAACATCAAATCGATAAATCGGGTCGTGTCCGAACGTGCGCCGAGTCGGGCCGCATCGACACGGAGTCGGAGTCGAACCGAACCGGACGCGCCAGGATGCACAACATCCCCATGCTATCAGCAGGCTGCACTGGATCGTCGGAATGTCGAACTCAAACCAGATCGGGCGGGCCGAAAGCAATGTCGAATCTCATCGATCGGATTGAGATTGACCCTGGCCGGTAATACAAGAACTGAGCCTGATCTATGATCCCGCTGACGTGCGACGGAGGCGTAGAGCAAAGACACAGGGCCACAAGCACAGACTGGCGAACGCGTGCAATAGAAGTGCTGCTGCGGCACCAAGAGAGAAACACTCTGAACAAGATGCGAGCAGGGCTGCCTAAGGCTGTGGCAGCAAGCACGACTGAAAGGCGCACAAGAGCACAGACATATCCGTTGCTCGTGGCCTCTGCAAGCTTGATGGCCTGCTTGATTGATGGCCGGATCGTGGCTACTTCAAAGGAAGGGTGAATGTGGTAGCGGAAAGGTGGACAGCGGCGAAGGAACAGTCCATATAGACATACACACACTTTTTGGCGGAAGCGGCCTCGCGCGCGGCGACAAGGCGGAGTCAATAAGAGCACGTAGCGTGGGGTCGCGGCCGGGCCCTCAGGAATCGCTGTGGATCCCGCAGCACCTACCGCCATATAGCGCATACACACACACACACGTTTTGGCGTCGCGGCCCCGTGCGCAGCGACCAGGCGTAGCATACACACACACAGACCCGCACACACACACACACACACACACACACGCGCGCGCACACACACACACATATACACACACGTTTTGGCGTCGCGGCCCCGCGCGCAGCGACCGGGCGTAGCATACACACACACACACACACACGCACAGACACACACACACACACACACACTTACTTCACGCTACCTGCACGCCCTGCCTGTCGCACGTCCCCGCCGTCGCCGTCGCCTGGGGCTCTGGGCTTTCAAGCGCACAGCGTGGGGCTGTGAACATTCCTACGCACTTCAAGCACACAACACAAATCCATCCAGGGTGTTGCGCCGCACATATTGAATCCACGGGTTGGACCGCATCGATTTCGCCGCGCATCTGTGCACCTTAGGGATTGCACCTCCTGGGCTGCAACCTAAGAGTTGCACCATGTCCCTCCTCTCAGGGGATCCATCCGCTGTCGATGATCCTCATGTGTGTTTGCGCCAGCACGTGTGCTTGCCCGCCGAAGCCCTCCATTACGACGCGGCCGGTGTAGCGAGGGCCAACACAGGCCGCGCGCGATCGGTGGAGCTACACTGGGTGAACACACGCTGCAGGAGCACGAAAAGCCGACACCAACACCACCGGGGACCACCAGCGGGAGGAGCCAGGAGGGGGTTCCGCTGGTGGTGGTGGTGGTCCGTGGTCCCCCCTCTCGCTGGAGACACCCCCCATCCCCAGCTCGGAGAGGAGGCATCGTGGACCTCCTCGCTGGAGGTGGTCCCCTGGTGGTGTGGGCGTCGCTTCTCCTTCCCCCAACACTGGGCCAACACACGTCCTGAAAATCCTCGACCTCGCAACATACAGCCACGCCCCGCACCAGCACACCGTGCATGGCCCTCCCCTGTCGTCCTCTTCTGCACGAGCGCCTTGCCCTCCTCCCCCGACGACACAATGGCCGCCAGCGCGGCTTCTACTTCCACGATGTCGCCAGGCACCTGGGGAAAAAGGACGGGAGTGGAAAAATGGAGACGGAAATTATGAGAAGTGGGGAAAGGAAGGCAGGGAAGTGGGCGCGGGCATCCGGCGGGGAAAGCGGGAGGCAGAAATAATGAACGGCGCCAAGTTTCGAGCGCATGGCGCGCACGTGTGCGTGCGGTTGTGCACAATTGCAGGCTTGCCAACGTGATGCAATTAATTGCACTTCGCTGCTAGATTCACTGCGCATGGCCATCAAATGCGAGGGTCGCACGAGGCCACAAGGTGCAGTCGGAAACTGCCTGTCCACTCAATTTGGTTTTCCCGCGAATCGCCCGGGAACAGCTTGCGCGATCCCCTTGAACGGCCACATAAAACTACACGCGCCAGGAGCCTTCCAAATCAGCTGGTTTCAACACCCCAGAGAACGGTCAAACATCAAAGTGAGGGGGCCGAATGGTTTTGCACCATCCCTGGGTGCGAGAATGAAGTGGGCTTCTGTGGCCCTGATTATCCTTGTTTGGTTTTGTTTCTTGTTTATGCTGTCGTTATCCTCGTCCTCGACCTCCCCCGCGACCCACCCGCGACCCACTCCACGACCCACCCGCGGTCCACTCCTCAACTCACTCCGCGACCCACCCCGCGCCAGCCTTTGCACTTGATTCGCATCTGTGGGGTGCTGCGTATAAGTTCAACACTGAGAAGTCAGAACCACAAGCCACAAATTGCCCAGAAGACACATCGATGCCCGCGCTCGTGCACCTCCCCCCCCTCCCGATCCTCCCCCTCCCCCTCCTACCCATCAACCTCTTTCCTCATCCACACTGCCACTATGTTGCGCCACATCCGCGCCCTCTTTTCCCTCCTCCCCCGCCTCCTCCTCGGGGGGGGGCGGAGAAACGGGGGAAGGGGTATACGAGCATGGGTATATTTGGGTTCCCGTGAATGGGAATCTTCTGTCCCTCTAGCAATCTCTTTCCCGATCCATCCCACCGGTGCCCGCATCCTGGTCCAACCGTCGGGAGGCCTATCCGCAAAGGCCTAGATCGATGCGACGACCCGTGTTTCGGAGAAGGCAGGGGGAGGGGGGGTAAGGGGGGGGAGCAGATGAAGAGGGACGCGGAGACCCAAGGTGCACACAGTACCCACCTCGGCGATCCTCTGATTTTTTGCCACTGCTGCGCCTCTTCCCCTGTACTTCCAGCTCCTCCGCCTCCTCCGCCTTCTCCTCTCTCCTCCTCCTCCATCATTATCCCTTCCTTCTCCTCTCTCCTCCCTCCTCCTATCCTCCCTCTTCCTCCATGCTCCTTCTCCTCATGCCCCTCTTGCCTCTTCCCCTCGCGCAACGGTCGCCGCTTCGCAGCCCGACATCCACAAACTCCGGGCGAGGGGCGAGGGTCGGCGCGGGCGTTGAGGCTCAGCACCGGCCCCGTCCCCGTGGTCAGCCACACGGAGGCGAGCAGGAACACCACGGAGCCTGGGAGGCGGGTAGGTGGCGACATCCTGACCCTTAACCGATGAGACGTGGGGGTGGGGTTGGGATTTCGCCAACTCTTCGACGAGCTCCGAACCCTACCCCACGCCGCCCATCGAGTTGCCTGACTCGTTGATTCGGCGAAGGTAGGGTTCGGATTTCGCCACCGAGCGCGCACGGTATCTTCGAGAACCTCTCAGATCCCACACACTACGCCCTGAAAGGTCCGCACTGTGCACTGGGCCGCCCCTTGGCACGACTCCCTCCCGGAGCCTGACCCGCGGCACCGGCGCAAATTCCATAACGTCCTGAGCGCCTCGCCTTGCTTCAATTTCAGCCCCCCACACTTTGCGGCCGCCCTGGTGCCAGCCTCCATGGCACAAGTTGTCCAAAGCGCAACCCGTTCAGGCCACCCCGCGCTGAGCGACCGCCAGCGCCGCAATGTGTTTTGGAGGGGTTCCTGGAAATGTTCGTGGGCTGTTAGAAGTTCCGTGCGATTTGGAACAGCAGCCTAAGCAGATGTGTTCCACTCAAGGCAAACGTGACTGTCACAGATGGGTAACATATAAGCCATCCTCGGGCGAAAACTGATGTGTGGGAAAATGAACCCAGTTGCTTCAGAATTAAAACGTACTGCCAGGTTTAGCAAATCTAAACGTCTGGCCTGCTGAGGGCCGGTTGTGCGAAACAGTACGTCGTTATGACGACTGTTCTGAGCCCCCGAGAGGATACGGAACGTATGATAATAAATGCGGCACGGATGACACATCATCGATAGGACAACTGAGGAGAACAAGAGGAGAGAGAAGGTAGAGGAGAGGAGACACCACCACCACTGATGGGTACCCCCGGTCCTGGACCTTGGACTCCTGCAACGGAGCGAATTCCTGGTCGTCAAGCTCCCTCCTGAAGGCGGCCTGGGAACGCTTCTTGAAACTGGGCTGTTACTTCGGGCGTTCAAGCCTCGGCGACCTCGTCCACCAACACCCACCGTCCGATTATCACTAGATCCAATAAGGCGGCGGTGCCCTTGGATACGTCGTCCTTCGTGAGAGAATCCAAGTGCATGCACCCATGAGGTATCCATCCCGCGTCGCCTCTCACACTCCAGAGCCTCGCAAGTGATCGCGAGATCTATGGCAATTCGTCGGTCTCGGGCACTCGCTCGCCCGTTCTTGAGCATGGTATCGTATATGGACTTCGCGTCCACCACGTGGACTTGCTCTTACCTCGATCCAAACCGGTAGTCTCGACGCAGAACAATGGTAAACTGCCCTGAGTTCCTGTGATGGTCCTGGATCTCTACGTCCTGGAATGCAGCGCCCAGGTACAATACCTGTAAATACTGCACCTCGGCCGCGGCTGTGGACGGCGCCTGCGTCTTTCCCGCCAGGGTGGAAGTATTCTTCGGCCTAGAAGTATTCTTCGGCCTAAGTTTGCAGATGCGCCAGCCGAGAATTAAATATTTCGCGGATCTGTTGTCCGAGAGACTCGTTGTCCGTCGCCAACGCAAGCCACGCGTCCTGGGTTGGGTCCTCTGGGAGACCCCTGTCGCCCACCATGTGGTCAAACGGCCCCACGCCACCAGCGTCCGAAGACGAGGCGAAAGCCACGTGGCCGGGAAGCAAGTTCCAGATGATGAGGCCCCTGGCTCCACCCTGGCCACGCCGAGGGGTCGGTCGGAATAGTCGCCCTTGACGCCCTGGCTGGTGTTCCCCCACCAGCTCTGTTGCCACGGGCTGCTCTGCCGCGTGGACTACTCCGTGCCGTAATTCTCCCAAGCGTCGAAGGACGGTTCCCGTCCGCTTCACCACGCATCATCCCTATCAAGGCTACGATCCTTGGCGACCGCGATCTCCTTGGCTGCTGCTGCTCCTCGATTGCGTGCCTGCTGCCAGGAGTCGTTCGTCGTCATCTTGCTATCCTGATCCTTGCCAGCAGTCGCTGATCTGGCCTCAGTGGTCACAGCTCGGGGAGCTGCCTGCGTAGTCTCCTTAGCTATGCCCGCCACGAGGTCTCTCAATTGCTGGGGCGTGATCATTATCGAGGGGCCGGCCGTTGCTGCTGGAGGCGGTGAGCCCGATCGCACTTCTCCGGCGCTGGCTGAAACACCCGCGCCGAGCACTGCACCCTCGAAGCCTCTGTCATCTCGTGGGCCTGGGGTCCGCCGCCCTCTTCGTTTTGTTTTTCGGCTTCTGTTTTTTCCCGCGCGCGCACACGGACCATGGCTCGCGCCACACTCAGACGCAAGCCGTGCGCCGGCCTAGGGCTCGCGAGGAGCGACCGAGCTGAGACGTCACACGGCTGCCCGTCGCCCCCCATGGCCGCCCAGCGTGGCCACGACTCCATTACCAACTGTAGCAGCAGCAGCAGCAGCCTGAACATAATTATGTTGTCCACTTGAGCCAAAGGCGTCGATCACGGGTGGGTGACATGTAAACAGTCCTCGGGCTAAACGTGATGTGGGACAACAGTCCCACCTGCTTCAGATTGCGGGTGGCTCGAAGGGGGTCTTGGAGTTATTGAAGGGAGGTCCTGTAGGATTGGGGGGGGCTGGACGTTGGGGGTCCGGGAAATTCTTTGGGAGTCTGGAAGGCGCCAAGCCGCCGCTTTGCCAGTAGAGCGTTTCGGGCAAAAGCCACTCGGGGATCTCTGAGAGCCTTGGAGCCCAGAAGACGCACGGGTTGGCGCTTCCGTTGCAGAGCGCTCGAGAGCGGAGCGTTTCGACAATTGCCGCACCGAACAGCCGTTGCAACGCAATGGCATGCCATCGTCCCGGCCACCTTCTACTACATAACCTCAGTCTCTGTCACATCACCGTGTCCCAGGCAGCCCCTGGCTCCTACACACCGTGCTCTGGCCGACGGCACCCTCAACAAAAAAATAACTTGAAAACCACCCTCTGCTACAATGCCCCGTTTCCATTACGCAGCACCCGTGGCCTACACATCACCCGCTGCTCTCGACAGCACTTTCCCAAACCGTAACTTGGCAACCACGTTCTACTGCACAGGCTCCGTCTCCGCCACTCCGCCCGAACACCACGTCCTCCCCCGACATGTTCTCCCCCCGCGACCCTACAGTACCCCCCCTCTTGTTGCATTATAATACAAAGCCCCCGTCTCCGTGGCACTTTCAGCGCTGCAGCGCTCAACAGTGATCGTCCCAGAAAACTGCACAGCGTCCGCCTCCAGCACACCACTCGATGTGAGGTCGCATCAGCGAAAGGGCCCGTGCGTCCATCAGTCAGCTCCCCTCCGCCTTTACCTCTCTCTCCACGGCTAGCTTGGTCCGACCCTGGAACCACAGATCGGGTAGCCTCGCTGCGTGATCGTGACCTTGCTCGAGAACCAACCTTTGTGGCGCTCCGTGGTGCCTGCGGCATGGGGCTGCTGGGTGCAAAGAGGAGGAACGGAATGAGATTTGCGAGGAGTCGTGGCGCAGGGGCAAGGCGACCAAGGCTTGAGACAAAATCGACAACCGAGGAGGAGGGAGACCAGGATGACAAGGGGGAACCGCAGCAATAAGGGGAGACAAAGGGCGAAGAGGACGATAAAGAAGAATCCGCCGGCAGAACTTGTCATCTTCGCAGGGGCTAGATAGGATAGCGCACGAGGCCAACGTGGAGACAAGGCGGAGAGATGCGATGGCCAGGGAAGGAAGCAGAGACAGGGGGGCGAAGGAATGGAGAGGGACGGAGTGTGAGCACTAAGTGTGTATGTGGATATTGGGTGGACCATTGGAACCCACTGCCAGCCCCATGCGGGGCTTTGGCAGCGAGGAGGAGGGCAAGTCCCGATAAGCACAGGCCTCGCGCGGGACATGGGCAGGGACGCTTCCTGCCCGCGTGCACCTGGGGAGGCGCGCGCTTATGGGGGAACACCCGCACCTTACCTATGATGCGGGACGCCTCCTTCAGGCTGCCGTTCCACAGGATGCCGCAGCGCGATGCGCCACACTGCGTACTGCAATGCCCCCGCCGGCAACCAACACGGCACCAAACCACGCCACGGCGTGGTCAGCTTCTGGTGCCACGGGGCAACATGCCACAGGACCGTAAGTATCCGGAACGTGCCATGGGATACCGGCCCGCGCGTCACGCTACCCCACACGAGGCACGAGCAAATCTCATGACGAAACTGGGCGGGTGGGCCCAGGGAAAGTTTCGCCAAGGCTCGAACCCACGGCTATGGGTAGCGACGGCGATGGTGACGACGGCGATGATGGCGATAGCATCGACGACGATCGCTCGTCACAAGCCGTGGCAATCTAAACGGTCGCCAGGAGTATCTGCGTGATGGGACTGGTTGTTCTCCTAAGCACTGGCGGAAATCGTCGCGCTGGCCCATCCGTTATCTTCTGGCTGCCACGGAATTCCTCGACGCCAGCCGGAGAATGTTAATCGCACCAAAATGCAAGACGCAACGAAAATGTCACGAAATTCGCTGCTATGATGGTGTGATGGCGATGGTCAGCTGAAGTTGTTGAGGCCAGGTGAAAATATCATATGATCACCGAAGGTGCTCTGATGAGGCAAACTATTGTGGCACAAAGCTTCGCCCCCTGACCGATGAGATGCCCGCATCCCTGCGAGATCCCCCGCCCCGCGAAGATCATACTGACAGGCGCAGCCCCCCTTTCACCTAATGTCAGTCCACCATCTTCGCAGGGGCTAGATAGGATAGCGCACGAGGCCAACGTGGAGGCAAGGCGGAGAGATGCGATGGCCAGGGAAGGATGCAGAGACAGGGGGGCGAAGGAATGGAGGGGGACGGAGTGTGAGCACTAAGTGTGTATGTGGATATTGGGTGGACCATTGGAACCCACTGCCAGCCCCATGCGGGGCTTTGGCAGCGAGGAGGAGGGCAAGCCCCGATGAGCACAGGCCTCGCGCGGGACCTGGGCAGGGACGCTCCCCCCCAACGCCGCTCTCACCCCTCCTCTTCGCATGGCTCTGACCCACGCCCAACGCCGCCCGCAGAGGCAGCGGAGACGCACGGGTGCATAGAGTGACCGGCGCGAGGGTCTGCAGCAGACTTCCAAGGCGCACGCGCGCGCACACGCGACTGGTAGCCCGCGCGTCCTTTCAGGGACGAATTTCGGCCACGTCCGCAGGACACAGGTTTACGTTTATGGAAGGCGTTTTGTTGCTCCCCCTTGCCGCATTTTCCTCCACCTCTCTCCTGTGGTCCTTTGCCGCTCTCCCCGCCACTTTCCCCCCCCCCTGCTCTCCTCGGCCTCCTCGATGGGGTGCCGGCCTCGCGGCGCCGAAACGGCGGTAAGGCCCGGGTCTGCGCTTTGGGCGGAGCTGCGCGCCCGTCGGCTGGGAGCCCCTGGAGGTGCTCCGAGATTGGGGGGGCGGGGGAGGTAGTGGGTCTACGGAGGCTACGGAGGAGGAAAGGAAAGGATGCTTGAGTTTTCTCTGGGAGCAAACTCTCAGGACATGCAGTCTCGCTGTTTTCCGCCCAGCACCGCGGCTGCTGGTACGTCAGGTGGGAGAACGGGGCAGGAAGCGCTGGCTGGCGGAAAATCCAAAAACCACCTGCCAGCATCGAGGCCACGGTGGGGTCGTCCAACGCGTCCCGGGACAATACGTCCGCGGGGTTGTCGGCGCTGGGGACGTGTTCGAACCAGCATCTGCAACCCAAGGCCGCCAGCAGTGCCGACGCCTGCAGCGCCAAGCGGCGCATCGTGGCTGTCGGAGAGCCGGCTTTGACCAGCGACGTAGCTGCAGAAGTGTTGCCCACCCACCAAATGACATCTTGGCCGCGCAACTCTTTGGCAAAAGTGGCCGCCACGAGGGCGCCACATTGGAGCTCTGCCTGATTGATGACTGTGTCTTGCGGGCCCCAGGTCTCGCGAAGGCACTGGTCCGCATCCAACACAGTCACGAACGCGCGGCCATCGGAGATAATCACTTTGGCGCCCAGCCGAACGCGGTCTGCGTCAGCAGCTGCGTCGGTGTAGACGCGCACTGGCGGGGCGGTAGGGCGGATAAGGGAAACGCACCTATCAGGCATGCACCGCGCCGCTGCCGCGATATAGTGCAGCGATTCCCATAAATTGGACCCAACAGTGACCTCTTCGCTCCAGCCCCAGTACTGTCGAGCAGTAAGAGCATGCCCAGCCGCCCGAAGGCATCGGCCCGCGAGAGCCGCGTCCATCCACGTTGCCAAGCCGCGCATTTTTGCCGCAGTCCCAGAGGAGAGGCGCCCCGACTGGACCGCGGCCATGCTGATCTCGACCAGGCGCTCGCGGGCGTGCAATTTCGGGCCCCACGTGGCACCCAGCGCATAACACGTGCGCACGAGATCATGGAGGTGGCCCAAAGAATTGAACATGAAAGACGGCGGCCGGTGCTTGCTAGCGGAATATTTAACTCCGCTGCACACTGCAGACTCCTGCACGATGTTGGACGCTGACCAGCGCAGGCCCGCCAAGCAGCTGAGTTCTACGGCGGGGCTGTCGTCGGCGTAGTGGCCTGTGAGCGTTAGCAAGATCCGGCGATTGAGCGCCGTCACAAACCCGGCCGCGCGAGTGAATTGATTGACGGCGGAGCCCAAGCCGAAGGGGAGCCCGCGAAGCTGCGCGTACAGCCACGACCGCGTCTCGGGGCACATGACAGCGACTACTGCCAACCCCATGCGTTCGCTCGTCGGGAAGGGCTGTCGGTAGCCTTTCCACCAATCTTCGAGCGACACCATAGGCTTGAACCAGGGCGGAATGCCACCGGACGCCTTGATGAAAGACAGGGCCATGCATTTCAAGAGTATGATGACGAACTCCGGCGGGATGCACACCACCGTCTCGTGAGTCGAGGGCAGCGCGTTCGTGCGGGAGCGTTTTCCGTCATCGATGGGCCGCCATTTGTCTGCCTGCCAGATGACATGGCGGACCAGCGGGCGCCATCTGCCTGCCCCGTGCAGGCTGTCCATCTCGTCCTTGGTGCGCATCGGGTCCGCTATGCCTTCGGAGATCTCGGCAAGCGTAAGATCCCAGATGGCACCAACGTTTTTGGACGGATGGCGCGTGGACTCAACTGCCGCAACGCACCGACAAGCATCGCCCCCAAAAACCTCTTCCCCAGCTTCTGGTTCGGGGCCCTTGCCAATGTGTTTCGTGGCAATAGGGCGCAAGATACCAGACGGGGGGATAGCGCCTGCGAGCTCGAAGCCGAGTGCCAGGCGCGACGGCAGGCCTTTGTCGGGCCAACCCATCAGAGCGACCATAAAAGCTATGTGCACGGGTCGGACGCCAGGCGCACCCTGCAAACGCACGTGCCTCTGGGCCAAAACGCGCTCGTCGAGGGGCGACAAAATCCGAGCGACACGCAGCACAAGCCGCAATTGGGCACGGCGCAGGGATTCGATACGCGGCCCATTCGCGACATACGCGTCGACAACAAACTGGAGGTCCGACTCCACCAGCGGGTCGCGCGCAAAAGGGTGCTGGACCAGGGCCGAAAGCTCCTCGTGCCGCTGCCGCCCGACTCCCCAATCGACGAGATTTGGGGCCGCCAGCTCCGAGGTGGACGGCTTGTGCTGATGTGCCACGGAAGCGTGCATCGGCGACTTCATCCACAACGCCTGCACGTCTGGCCCAAGAGCGCCCTCCGGCGCTCCAGACTGCAAAGCGTAGGCAGGAAAATCGCAAAATCGCGCGAAGTCCAGCTGCTGCAGTGCGCGCAGCGCGTCGGCAACAGCATCGGTCCAATCACTGAAAAATCGTGCCGGAAAGTAGCTGAGAGCCTCTTCGAACAAAGCAGCCCCGGACCGAACCATGCCTGGAGGGGGACGCCAATCCGAGCACCAAACTGTGTTTGGGACGTGCGCCTCCTGCCAAACTTTCGCTGGTCCTGTCAAGGCCGGCGCCGGGGGCAAAATGCCACTCCCTCCAGCAGGATACAACAACAGCGAAAGCAAGAGAAAAAGTTTCGCCAAGGCTCGAACCCACGGCTATGGGTAGCGACGGCGATGGTGACGACGGCGATGATGGCGATAGCATCGACGACGATCGCTCGTCACAAGCCGTGGCAATCTAAACGGTCGCCAGGAGTAGCTACGTGATGGGACTGGTTGTTCTCCTAAGCACTGGCGGAAATCGTCGTGCTGGCCCATCCGTTATCTTCTGGCTGCCACGGAATTCCTCGACGCCAGCCGGAGAATGTTAATCGCACCGCAATGAAAGACGCAACGAAAATGTCACGAAATTCGCTGCTATGATGGTGTGATGGCGATGGTCAGCTGAAGTTGTTGAGGCCAGGTGAAAATAACAGATGATCACCGAAGGTGCTCTGATGAGGCAAACTATCGTGGCACAAAGCTTCGCCCCCTGACCGATGAGATTCCCGCATCCCTGCGATATCCCCCGCCCCGCGAAGATCATACTGACAGGCGCAGAACCCCTTTCACCTAATGTCAGTCCACCATAGGCGTGCTAAAATCTCAGGTAACAGATTAACAATACTTCTAGTTCGCGCGCGCGCGGCCGCCCCTTGGGATCCCCGGACGAAAAGCACCCCGGCAGGCCCCCGGGCGGTCCCCAGGCGGTGCGGATCAGACATGGTTTTCATCCTGGGCGAGGTTTTCAGGCGCCCCAGAGCGCTCCAAGTGGACCCCAAGAGACGCCCCCAAGACGGTCCAAGAGGGTTCCGAATCGTCGAACGATCCGTCCGAGACACTCAAGATGGCTTCCAGACGGCCCACGAGGCCTCCAAGACGCCCCAAGAGGCCTCCAAGATGCCTCCCACAAGAGCCCCAAGAGGCACAAATCATTGATTGTCCATTGGTGTTTGATGAATATTGGCGTTCTCGCCTTCTCAGCTTCCCGACGCTCCAAGACAGCCCAAGAGACCCCCAAGACCGCCCCAAGACAGCCCCAGAGGCCCCCAAGAGGGCCCCAACGGCCCCAGATGCGCCCAAGATCACCCAAGAAACCGCCAAGACGGCCCCAAGAGGGGAAACACGAACCACCAATTCGAGCCTTCCGCACCAAGAGCCCCAAGAAGCCCCAAGAGGCCCCCAAGAGAGCCCAGGAGGCCTCTGAAGGCCTCACGAGGCCCCCAAGAGGCCCAAAAAGATGCTCCAAGAGGCCCCCAAACGGCCCGGAAAGGTCACGAACGCGCAGGCAAACGCCCGCGATGGTACAATACGGGCTGGTGGAATGAGCGAAGCGATTAACAAGTGGAGGAAGGGGTACGGCGTGTGAGATCCGCAGCATGGTCTTCAATAGTGCTGTGTGTAAGTCTTCTCTCCAGCACGCTTTTCATACCTACCCCTGCCTCTGAGCCCTCGCAACCCCTCCCAGGGTCCTCCCCGCGCCTCGCTCATTCCGCCGGCCCGGGGGCCCCGGCTGCAGCCGGGGCGCCTTCTGGCCGCCATTTCCGTCCCAAGACGACCCTCCTTTCACATGCTTGCCTTCCAGGCGCCGCCAGGCGTTCTCAGAGACCAGAGCCCACTGGGCCGGCTTTTAGCGCGCTCTCCTGGGCTCATGTTCACCCTCCTTCAGGCCACTTTGAGCCGTTTCAGATGCCTTTCCAGCCCTTTTCGAGCCACATACACCAGAACACCCCAACAAGCAAAAAACATCGTAAACACACATAGGGTTTTGATGATTCCGGCCATCTCGCACTTCTCCTTGCGCCTCTCTCGGAGCTCCCGTGCATCTCCGCTGGGTCTTGCGGCCATCTTAGAACCAGGGCATGCTCTCTACGACCGTCCTGACAGCCTCTCGGACCCAACTTGAGCCGTCTGGCCGCCTTCTTGGCACCGTATTTCGCCCATCTGGGGCGCCCCTAGAGTCTCCAGGGGCTCTCCCAGGAACCGCAAACAAACCGGGACTGCCTTTTTCCCCTTCCTGTTTTCATCGTTCACCCCAGTCGCCGCACTTGACCCATTCCAGCTCTTTTGGGGGCCCCTCCAGAGGTCCCCCTGGGACGAACCCCACGGTTTTTGTTGAGCTTCTCCAGCCTCTCTGCAGCCGTCCTAGCCTCAGGGCCATGTGAAAGACATTCCTTGGCGCGCTTTCTCGGACGAGCCCGACGGTTTTTTCAGTTCCTCCAGCCTCTCTGCGGCCGTCCTGGGCTCAGGCTCATACGACAGAGAACTCGCTGAGGAGCCCAATGCCCTCTCCATAGAGCCCCACAAGGCGTCCAAGCGGAAGCACCAGCACCAGCACCAGAACCTCTCCTATTCGCGCGCGCGCGCGCGGAGCGGCCGCCGCTCCCACAGAGTCTCCAGGATCCAAACATGGTGGGGCGACGGTGTCTGCCCCCTCAGGGGCGTTCATGTGAAGAAGTGGAGGAACGGGCAGGATGAGCAGGAGCGGGAGAAAAAGCAGAAGGAAAAGCATGAGGAGAACGGGAGAACAGTAGGAAGAGGGAGGAGGGGGGGAACACAGCAAGAGAGATAACGAAGAGGAAGGGGAAGAGGGAGGGAGGAGGGGGAGGGGCGAGAGGGAAGAGAAGGAGGACGGGAGAAGGAGGGAGGGGCAGGGGAGAGGGAGGAGGATGGATGGGGGCCCCGCCTAGGGCCGTCTGTATGGCGTTACCGAAGAGCTCGCAGCCGCTGGCCACACCCAGGCCGGTGCCGTTGAGCAGCTTGCGCACGCCCGGCAGGGCGTCCTGCCATGTGGCGGGAAGGCACCGGGAAGGGAGGGGGGTGCAGGAGATGAGGAGAGCGAGGAGGGAGGAGCGACGGAGGAGCGAGGAGGGAGGGCCAGGAGGGGGAAGGGGCAGGAGAGGAAGGGGCAGGTGCGGGTTCGCCGACAGGCGTGCCGAAACCGGTCTCGACGCGACAACGTCTGGAAACGGGGGTCCGTGGAACGATTGTCCTGCTTTTCCTGCACGAGTGCGAGGCTGAATTAGCCTCTCCTCGCCACGGGCCAGCGCGCACAGCACGTCTCCAGAGAGCCTCGCAAGAAATTGTGTTTTTTTTCTCTCCTTGGCATAATTGTGTGTATCTGGTTCAGTAGCGAGCTCTCTGGAGCTTGCATGGTTAGGGTACCGCCCAAGAGGCGGCTCAAGGGACCCCTGAAGCCACAATGGTTACGGACAGGAGCAATTGAGACGGAGAACGGTTCGCAAGAAAAACGTTTCACACAGCTGGGTTTACAGTAGGAGGGAGGAGGAAGGGGGGGGAAGGGGATCAGGAACGAGGAGGGAGGAGGCGTTAGGGGTGCACGCAGCTGAACCGGGAGGGATAAGAGAGAGAGGAAAGGCAGATTTGCCTTCCTCCGAAGAAGCGCGTTCGAAGAGCCGGGGAGGAGCCGGGAAATCGAGGAAAACTGGTATCGTTCCAGGGAGCTCGGGATGGTTTCAGAGACGACGTAGGGGCTTTCATGGGAGTGATAAGAACACCATAATTTCAAGGTCGCAGGGGCTTCAAACAAGAAGGGAGACTGAAGCAAGGCATCCCAGCAGAAAGGGAAGGGCAGGGATGGGGGCGGGGGGATTGGGTAGGGAGTTAGAGAGGGAGGAGGCTCTGGCTAAAACGACGCACAAGCGGACTGAGACCCTCGCAGACGTAGGACCTGGCACATCGGCCTTGTAACGGACCCCCTGGAACTGGAATTGTCCAATGTGCCCCAGGGCCTGGAGAGGAGGAGGGCTCATAAAGGCGGCGGGAAGGCGTTGGGGAGGAGGGAGGTAGGGGGGAGGGAGGGGGGAGGGAGGGGGAGGGGGAAGGAGGGGGAGGGAAGAATGGCTGAGCAGAAAGACTCTGGTGCTCGGGGTCGCCAAGAGAAGATGCCTCGGAGAGGGGGCCAAAGGATGACACACGGGGGCCTGGACTGGGAACCAGGGCAGCAACTGGCAGGGAGGAGGTCGCTCCGAGCCTCGCTGTGCTCCTGAGCTTTGGAGGCACAAGGGACGTGCGGCTGCGCAGCTCTGCTCTCTTGTGCCCGGCCCAACGAGTGACGGGAGAGAAGAAAGAGGCGGAGAGTGAGCCAAACGTGACCGGACACGTCTTTGACCTAGGGTGGCCTGGCGCGTTGGATGGTGCAGAACATATATCCGCTCGTTTTACTTGCTCAAGCGTTGGCGTTGCTCGCAACTGCTCTCTTCACAAGCCCTCTTCAGCCTTTGCCACCATGGCGCAATGTCAGCCCACAACGCCGAAAAATACCAAACACGTTCAGTCACAGACTTCCTCGAAGCTATCTAGTCAGACCTCATTTTAAACTTCCGATTGGCCGCACAAGGAGACATGCACGAGGGCCCAGGTCGGTCATAAGAGGCCGCCAATAATGACGAAGTCACCAAACGACCAGCGAGAGCATCCAAAATCCGCCCACGTAACCTCTAAAAGGAATCTAGCTGGGCTCAAGAGGCCGCCAAGACGATCCAACGATCCAAGAGGCGCCAAGCTCTGCACAACAGCTGCCAAGGGGCCACAAGAGACTGAACGTCCCCCGGGCCCCGGGGCCCCAAGCAATTCACAAGACGTAGGAAACGGCGGTCATGTTTCAACGGGGATCACTCCCCCGCATTTTCTGGCCCCAGATGTCTCCAATAAGGCTGAGGGGGGGGTCCAGAGGGCCGAAGAGGGCTATAAGACTGAACAGGCGAGGGTCGGGTATACTTGCATCCCTTTGTTGCAAGACATCCAAACGATCAGGAGCCGAAGCTCTCTTGCCCAGCCCCAGAGAAGGGAGGGGGGCCAGGTGGGGGTGGATGTGCGCTTTCGCTCCCCCACAGCGCGGCGGCGCAGGGCACGTGAGACAGCGCAACTGGGTACCACTGCTGACGCCTCGTCGTGCCTCTCGCCGTGGACCGGCTGCGGAACACCAGCCCACACCCTTCCTTCATCCTCTAACCCCTTCTCTCCGTGTGGCCGACTGCAAAAACCCTGAATCCAAGGATGTTGACGTCTTTCTGATACTTTCGCCACCTTCAACCGAACTGCCGCTGGCGTCCGCCCGCAAGCCCGCCACCGCTTCACATCCGCTGGCGCCCGCCGGCCTGACGCCAGTTTCCGCCGAGAACGCGAGATGCGCCGAGGGCGAGGTCCTTTCTCGAACGCGTCACAGGTACTCCTCCTCCCACTCCCACACCTTTCCCTCCCCTTCCTCCTCTCCCTCCTCTTCCTCATCCTCCTCCTCCTCCGCTTCCTTGCTCCTTCACGTCTGCTGTCCGTCGCAAGACCTCGCCCTCCCTGGAAGTCCTCCACGGCCTTCTTCGAGTGCACAAAATGCGTCTGCCCTTCCTCGCGGGGGGGGGCGGCGTTTTTTGGGGGGCATCTGAATGTTTGTTCTGATTTTGGGTCCGGGATCGGCCCGAGGCCCACCTGCCCTTTGTATGTCCGTTGTCGCCGCGTTGTCGGTACGTTTTAGACATCTCAATGCTGCCTGACTGACTGAGAACCACTTTCTGGGGCGCCGTTGTAAACAAACTTTGTATAACTAGGGACAGCAAAAGGAAAACGGGAGAAACGAGTCCCTCCAGCGCTTGTAAAGATGAGTTCGGCGCATCTGCCACACTTCCAGACCCATGGCCTAGCGTGTAAGGTTCGCCTGGCTTCTGTTGCTTCAATGTTTAGTTATACTCCGAGGATGTCGCTAGTTTGAAATCGTTTTCCCCTTATGCCAAGATGCTGAAACGCATGTCGACCCGCCACCACTTCCAGAGAAACGCGCACGCGTTAGGCGGCGCAACGCTGATAATGTATGCCATGATGGTTCGCGGCACAGAGGGATCCTGCAGATTCCTGGACACCCAACCACAGCCCTTGTAACTGGCACATATCTCAGCGACGCAGAGCCCGCGCAAAGAAATTGCTCCCCCCCCCAAAAAAAAAACGACGTTCGACAACCCATCTCAAAGGCTCTGAGGGACATACAGGCCCATGTCCCACACACGGACCAACACGTGAGCCAGCAATGGATGAGGGTATACCTCGCATCCTGGGCGCGCTGCGTCGTGGACCAGAGGGCCAGCGCGAGGCGCAGTGTCTTTTGCCAGATGACCGATATGACCTGACACACGAATCGACTTTCCATCCTCTTATCCTAGCTCAGTGAATGCGGGGGGGGGGAGCGGTATATACACTACCACCAGGCGGCCATGAGAAATAAACAATCCTGCGCGCGTCCGCCCTGACAGGAGTGCCCCTGCCTGCCCCCGCCAATCGCAAGTACTTGCCACGTGGTCATGCGCGCAGATGGCGGCCGCATTCAGTCGCGAACAATTGCTCCCAAACACCCTATGGCAGCACGGTGGTGGTGTATAAAAACGGTGGACCCCCTGGTCATCTGATACACCACTCCGAAATATACACCACGTGAGCGTGTTGTTTTTTGAGCATGCAGCCGCGTGCCCAAATGACGGTGCACACGCGACATGTCAGTACCGCGAGATTCGACGCACCCTGCAGCCCACCGCCGAAACAATAATCCGATCAACCCCCACGACAGAAAACCAGCCCGCGGTGGTGATCTATATGCGTGTGTCCCAGAATAAACCCCTTCATGGAGGTTTTTGGGACGATGTGATCCTCAACGCTGGGAGACGACAAGGCGGCGCGCGCGCGTCGCCCCCTATTCCAGATGCAACGCGCAAGATGCGCGCTGTCACTGAGTTCTTGCGCCAAGAACCCGCAACGGCGGGCGGATGGTAAAGGCCTGGCGGAGGGAACGAAAATAACGACTCCCCCCCGCGGCGGGCACCGGAGCAACTTCACCCCGCGTGCCAGCCGTCAGCACACCGCGCCCAGGGGCGCCAACCCCAACAGAATTTGACAGCTCTCGCCATCCGCACAGTGCCTACTCCTGCTGCCCAGGCGACGGATCGATTGCTAGACGAACTCCAATTGATTCGCCAGGCCCGCGGGGTGCCCCAGCGCTGATCGCTCAGCCCAGGCACGTCATCACCGCGGGTCGCTACGACTTCGCATACCTCGTTCAAGAGTCCTTCTTGTCCCATTTCTTGTAGGACTCGTCCTTCCACTATGATTTACCAGACTTGTCTCTCCAAGAGTTGTCTCGCCACCTCTTGCTCCCCATGCCCCAGTTGTTCCCGCTGGCACCGCCAGCTTCAGCATCCCTGTTCAACCAGGAGCCGCCATCGTTCCAACTACTCTGATGATCATCATTACTCCAACGATAGTTGGAGAAGGAAACGCACCAACTCCCTCTGCCTCCATCCTTGCTGCCACCAAGTCCTCTCCCTTTTCCAACTGACTGGAACTTTCCGGCGAAGGCTCCTTCCATGTCTGCATGCTGCCGATCCCTCTTCTTTCCACGCCCCTTGGAGGAATCACAGGGTCGTGCAGCATCTGATGCCTTCCTATCCTCCCACCGCTCACGCCCGAAATCCGAACCTGGAACCCGACCACCATTCTCGGTCGTGCCCGACCCCCGCGGAGGCGGCGGAGGGAGGACTGACCTACCAGCTGACGATTCAACAACAGCTCGCCCCGTCATGGATGGAGTTTCAAATTCAGGAGAACCCTTCATCATCAAGGTAGCAAGCGTAGTGTATGTACCACATGCCATGTATTTTTGCTCTACCAATCTTATCCCGTGCATCCCTTGGTTTGCGAAAATAACGGGAATTCTACTCATTTCTGGGGATTTCGCGGACATCTTTCATAGCTGCCCTGGAAGGCAGTATAGCACAATATTTGAATCCCTTGACTCAAGGTCTGGCAAACGGGCCCATGAGGGGCGCAACCTGCATGGCACACATGCCCACCCACGTCTCATTGTAACGCTCCTGCGCACCGTAGGCAACGCAATCAAGGAAAGCTTGCTCTATCTTTCCGTCGTTGCACATACCCGCAGGGTTAGAGCAACTGCGAAATGTATCGATCACTGTGCGCGAGCTACCGCTCGCGCATTCCACTCTTTATCAGCCGGGAGCTGGGGCACGTGCCTTTCTTTTCTCGATCAACGCCATTGCGTTTCCAATAGTTTTTCCATCGATCCAACTCCCGTCGCGGCCCCCGTCAGAAACCACGGTTACGTTCCCGCAGTCGAGAGCTCACGGGCAGATTGTGCTTCGCCACCGAGTGTTTCAGCCGCCGCCCCCTCGTCCGTCATGATTTCCATCGGAGCGGGGGGATCTCTACTGCTCCTAAAACTGGACGGAACCAGACATGCCAACGGCCAAGGCCCGAGAGTGAACATCACGCTTCTGAATCAGCAGCACACTCGTCACTACTAATCGCAGCCTGGCTCGACTCAGCGCCTTCTGGTGTCTTCCCAAAACGATGTTATGATCGTGCATTGTTGTCTGGAGGCAGCGTCCATGCCCTTCGCCAAATCCGACAAAGTTTCACGCTTCGCTTGATTAGAGCTCTGGGCCAGGTCACAAATCCTTTCAAAGATCAACTCGACTCCGTCATCTTTGGACTGCTCTGTCCAACCGTCGCCCAAATCGGCTTCCCCTGCCGTCTCGGGTTCAATAAAGTCCCAGTCGAAAAGCGCTCAGAGGACCGAAGTCTGGAGCATGCGGATTCGGACCGAAGAAAGAACAAAGTTCCGGATGCCATGATACCATATAATCAGCAGCGTCGCGATCAGACCGACCATTGCTCACACGCGCTTGGAAACTGGCATCTGATGCACCAGACTTCTGCATGAATGGCTGAGGACCAACCACTGGCTCACACCGCTGAAATTCTGGAGCCCACGCTAGATACGTAGCTGCAGCGGGGCCCTCGAGCCCCATGCCTCTCAAGGATCGCGAGCGTCGCGACCCAGCCGTAGCAGCCCGCAGCCTCTGGCGTTCCATTTTATCTTCTTCTCTTGGTCACACGCTCCACAGGCTCGAAAATATCTTCCGAACGCCGCGCCAAAGCCACAACGACACCCGAAAGATAAATGAAGGCTTCTGCGCCCACGCCCCGTCCACATCAGCGGGCGCGCGGCCCAAACGCCCTCCCGCGTACAATTCTACACCGGAGTCCGCCTGCGGGGGAGGGGCCCTGATGTGATCCACTCCTTTACTTCTTCCTTCACTTCGGGATTTACTAAAAAGAGCGGATGGCGCCCGGTTTTGGCGGATCTGCCTGGTTTGGCCCCTGGTTTGGCCTGGTCCGGCCCGGCTTGGCCTGGTTTGGTCCCTGGTTTGGCCTTGTTTGGCTCGGCTTCGTGTGAGACGTCCTTCGAATTTGCCTGGCCGGGCTTGATTGGGCCCAGCTCGGGCCTGATCTCGCCTGAGACGTCCGCAAAATTTGTCTGGCTTCGCTCTGGTTCGGGCCCCCTTCGCTTGAGACGTCCTCGAAAGTTCTTCCCGTTCGTTGATCGATCTCCTCCGAACTGGCCCCAAGAGCGCTCCCAAGGCTCCCAAGAGCGCCACACGAGGGCCCCAAAAGGCGCCCTGGAGGCCCCAAGAGGCGCCCCAGGAGGCTCCCTAGAGACCCCCAAGAGGCCCCAAGAGGCTCCCCGAGGCACCCAAGACGCTCCAAGAGGCCCCGGGGACCGCCAAGAGGCCCCCAAGACGCTCCAAGAGGCCTCCAAAAACCTTTCAAAAGACATCTGAGGAGACTCTGAGAGGCAACTCGCCTGGGCATCGTTTCTGGATGGACTGGTGGGGATACGCTTTTTTTTGGTCGCGGCCGCGAGCGAAGAGCACACGCGGCGAAAGCAAATGTCCGGGGCAGCCACCAAGGCTGATTAGCTACAAGACGCGCCGCTAGCCGGCCGGCCCACTCACCAAGCAGCCGCGGGGCACTGGTGGGGATACGCGAAGCGTGCTGTCTCTTATCGGTGCCAATGGACTCCGCCGCGCTGGACGGTATTTCGCGTTCGCCGCCTGCTGGAGAATAGGCGCAGCTATAACCAAAGGCTTGCTGGCCTGCCCCCGCATCGTCGCATTCTTCAGGGTCCATCGTGCAAACGCGTTCGTCACCAAAAGCGATTTCTTCACGCTCCCCTTCTCCTATGTCATCTTGACGTGAGGATTAGCATCGTCCATGTGGGCCCGCTCGTCCAACGAGAGGTCCGTCCAATATGCTGCAACGTACGCTCCTGGAGCATTCCACTCGTCTCTCGACGGCGACGTGGCAAGATCAATCGCACGGTCCTGGCTCAGCCTTACTTCGGTCTGGTTCTTGCTCGGCACTCTGGGCATCGATCGGGGAACCGACGAAACCTGCGACACCTGATCCGGATCTCGCGAGGACTCTCGTCCGCTCTCTGAATCATTTTCTGAGTCATGGGTTTGCCCCCTGGGAGTGGAGTTGTGGTGACGTACGCTCGGGTATCCTCTCTGGAGTACTGACTTCGCAAGATCAGCCAGAATCTCATCTGGCATGTCGCCTCCACTGCTCGCTGCTTTGCGCCTTCATCGTGTAGCTGCGTACTAGTGATCACCTCGCTCAACGCAGTGGATATAACCCTGCCTTTGGCCAGATGGTCGATATATATATATATATATATAACCTGACATATGAGTAGTTTCCCCGTCCTCTTCTCCTAGCAGTAGAGCCTTTCACGAAGGTTGTTGGGAGGGTGTGATCCTCAACGTTGGCGGACGACATGGCGGCGCACGCGAGCGCCGCTACCCTTTCCAACTGCAATGCGCACGATGTGCATTGTCACTGAGTTAGTGAGCCGAGCGCCCGCAACGGCGGGCGGATGGAAAGTTCAGAGAAGGGCGGAGGGCGCGAAGGTAGCGACTCGCAGCCCCCATGTCCAGCCAACGTCGCCAACGTCGTCTGCAGGTGGTCAAAAAGACCGGTCAAGAGGGTCTCAGGGTTGGCGTAGGCCAAAGCCGCATCTGTGCCACCACTTGGTCCTCATCACGCCAACTGCTGCGGGCAAGCCGCCCATTCAGGCGGCGGAGACTCGCTCGCGGGAGGCGTGAGGCGACGGGGAGCGGCACACGTGCACGGAGGGGCCCGCGCCGGCTGCCAGGGGAGCGTCCCCGACCGACCCCCCCTACGCCCCGCCTTGTAGTTCGGGTCGTAGCAGAGCACCTTCATTGTCCCGCTGCCGTCGACGGACTGCAAGCAGAGCGCGTTCGCGTGGCCCTGCGGAATGTGCTCGCAGCTGGTATCCCCACCGTGCGCAAGTGGCTGGGTAATTGGCCCTTGCAGGAAGACCCCCAACAATGATTCACTGGCACGTGCTGCCCAACACGCGTGGCACTGCGCCTCATGAAGTGTGCGCTCATCGACCAGAATGCGGAATGACAGGCGACCTCGCCCCTGAACAGAAACCGCCCTCACTCCCCACTATCATCATCCTACCTCTTGAAGCGCTCTCCACATCGCAGCATGCTCTTGCCCCACCCTCCGGCGCCCCCATCTTTCACAATGCGGTCTCCTCGCTCTGCCTAGGCCTCTGCGGAGCCCGCCCCCGCCTGTGCTCCAGTGTCCATGCCAAGGGGGATCCAGATGGCAGCCCGCTGGCGCTCCTTGAGGGATCGGGCCGCGAAGAGAGGTGGCAGGGAGCGAAAGGAGGATCCACCGATGAAGGAAAGGCGGCATGATGGAAGCGGAGAGAAGAGCAAGTCGATATTGGTGAACTTGAGAGATTGCTGGGAAGATTGGTAAACCGAATCTCCCTGTATGAAATGCTAGGATCGATATCGTGTAAGCTGGGGGGGAGGGCACTTCTTGCTTCGCTCGACCATTCGCCACTAGCGCAATTCCTCAAACACTGAGCTTTGAGAGAACTGGGTACCATATTCAGAGGATCCACTTTCCATGTATCACCGTGCAGAAAGGTGCGATATGGTGATTGACCTGTGATCTGTGATTTCTGAGCCGTCAGCTAGACACGGGTCATCTTCGCGCAGCAGATGCCAGTGACAGTTCTGACGCCCACGCAACACCAGCGAAGACTGACAGCGCAACGGCGACACACCAGGATGCGGCCACGACCAAGCCCGCTGCACGTCGACCCGCCCTGCCCGCTCGATCTCCTTGGACGAATTGATCGGCCAGCCTGGCTCGCGCGGCCCACCTCGCGCAGCACGTGGGCGCTGAAGCAAGCCCGGGCCGCATGGGAAAGCACCGGGGCACCGCGCCCCAGCAGTCTGTGGCCAGACGCGCGGCCGTTGATGCCCTTCGGTCCCAGGCTCACGCCGCCACTAGCGTTAGGTCGGGCATGTCCTCCTACAGGCGGATTTTGGAAGACAAATAAGACATCAAAATACCTATGCGACCACCCTGCGGGTGATAAGGAGATTTGGGGGGGCAGCAATGGGCAACAATGGTGACTGTTGTTCTGACGATGCCTGTGGTGCGCATATCGATGTGCATGTCGATTTGCTTTTCGATCTGCATCTCGATTTGCATACGACATATCAATGTGCATGCCGAATTGCTTTTCGATCTGCATCTCGAATGTGCATGTCGATTGCATTTCGATGTGTTTTTGGCTTGCATGTCGGTTTGCATGTAGACTTGCATTGGATAGTTCGCCGCAGCCACGGCGGGACACCAGCAGGACACTAGCGGGACACCGCAGGGCACCGCTTGCCGGGTGGAGAGACTTTCGGTCCGGCCGCGGCCCGGTCACAAGAGGATTTCGGGACACCAGCGGGACACCAGCGGGACACCGCGGGCGACCGGCCGCCGGAGGATAATCATTTGGTCCGGCCGCGGCCCAGCCACAGGAGGATTTCGGGACACCAGCGGGACACCGGCGGGACACCGCGGGCCACCAGCCGCCGGAGGAGAATCATTTGGTCCGGCCGCGGCCCAGTCACAGGAGGATTTCCTCTCGCCCGCCCACGCAGCTTCGCCTCGCCCGCACGCACGTACGCACGGCACGCACGGCACGCACGACACGAACCCGAAACCGAAATCGATTTCCCCGTAGGGGGGTCTCCGTTTCACGTCGGACTCACCCCCCAACCTCCGATGAAACATCAAACATCGTCACAGGACTATCTGTACTATTCTTGACTATTCCTCCTGTAGAGGGACATACATGCCCGACTTAACACTAGCTCCGCGCCTGCACACCGTCTGCCCCGACCTGCGCTGTCTGCCCCAACCCGCCCTCGAATCGTCTGCGCTGGGCCCGACGCGGAAGGGAGACACTCAACCAACACTGCGGGAGGGAGGGGTGGGAGGGGCTCACCACCCCGCCCTCCATAGGTCCGACCCTCCCTTCCCCATGCCCACGCGGCTGCGAGGGTGAGGATGCGAAGATGGCAACGGTACCCCCCCTGACCACAAAAGCCTCTCAACTTGTTCGCCCTGCACAGCCCCAGCCAAGAAGGGGATCCGACACTGTCCCGAATGCATATCTGCAGTTGGATGGCATGAAATACCTAGATCATTCATCCCTGTTGGGAGGATCAGAACCTGATCGGACAAGAACGGAAAGCGCCGATTTTGTCAATTCGGCTCGTAGGGGGAAAAATCAGACAAGATTGATGGAGACGACAAGGCGGCAGATGTCGAGGATGGCAGCGTGGACGACGGGGAGGGTAGCGAGGGAAGCAGAAGGACAACGAGTGACCAAGCACGAGGACGAAGAGGAAGAGATGGCGGAGGACGAGTACGAGGAGAGATCAAGCGGAGGAGGAGGAGGAGGAGGAGGAGGAGGAGGAAGAGGAGGAGGAGGAGGAGGAGGAGGAGGAGGAGGAGGAGTTTTTTTTTTTGCCACCGCAACGCACCCCAACCAAGCACAATTAATGAGCCCACTGGTCCGGCATGCCACAGAAAGCAAAGGACAGTGTTTCATGACGACGCTGCGTCAGGAAAGCTGGATGGTCGTCTGCGGTGGCGGCAAATATTCAGGTGGAACTGGAGAGAAGGCGGAAAAGAAACAAGAGCCAAAGGAGGAGGAGGAGGAGGGAGAGGGCCAAACAAAAGTCGAGTCAGTTCCTAAGGCGGCGTGCGCACAGCGCCATGGACGATCCCACCGCCTCGCACACCAACGCAACATGAATTAGACAAGAACACACGACTACAGGAGGGACCATGCCCCCGAAGACACAGGAGGAGGAAGAGCCAGAGAGAGAGCAGACGCCGACGGGAGCACGATCACGGCCACCAGGCCCCACGTGCAGGTGAGCAGTCGAAGGGGACAGGCAGGACGACAGCTACGGAAGTAGCGCCCTGTATGGCAAAGTCACAAACTCATGTAAGTCTATGGTATTGTTCGGGCAGGGCATAGCAGCGCACTGGGGTGGCCTGGAAACTCTGGGGGCGGCAGAAAAACCAAGCCCGCGGCGTCGAAGCCAAAACGGGGTCGGCTAACTGCGGCCACGAGGAGGTCATAAACCATGCAGACAGAAAAAAACAACACAAACACCTAACGTGCACAGGAAGAAAGGACAGGAAACAGCAGGAAGGGGGAGGACTGAAGGAAAAGCATGCGCCGAGGAGGAGGAGGAGGATGAGGAGGAGGAGGAGAAAAAGGACTACGACGACGAAGAAGGACGGTAAGGAACCCTACGAAAAGGACGTTGACGAAGAGAGGTGTCTTGGTGATCTTTTGAGGCTACCCTGTGGGCTGTTGGGGGCCGTCTAGGGCTATCTTGGAGCATCCTGGGGGCCTCTTGGGGGGTGGCACCATCTGAGGCTGTCTTGGGCCGTCTTGGGGCCCTCTTGAACAGTCATGGGGCCTCTTCGGGCGCTCTTGGTAGCCTTTGGGAGCTCTCTTGGGTCGTTTTGAAACCCTCCGGGGGGTATTCCAAGATAATGATGGTGTGGAGTCCTCTCTGGGGCTAATTTTTTGAGCATGTCTGGAGCGAAAAGACCATGTTTCCGGAACCTGACCGGACAAGAACGGGAAGCGTCGTTGTGTCTACGAAGCCTGATTGAATGTCTCGTCGCGAACTCTGAAAAAAAACGGCTGGTCTGATGTGCTGGTCTGCCTCGCTGATCTGCCGCACTGCGTGCCGTGCTCGTGTGCCGTGCTGGTGTGCCGTGCTGGTCTGCCGCGCTGGTCTGCACAATTGGTCTGCCGCGCTTGTCTGCTATGCTGGTCCGCCGCGCTGGCCTGCCATGCTGGTCTGCCGTGCTGGTCTGCCGTGTTGGTCCACGCCAATATGCCGTGCTGGTCTGAATCGTGCTGTTCTGCATTGCTGGTCTGCCGCGCTGGTCTGCCGAACTGGTCTTTCCCTTGCTGATCTGCCTTGCTCGTCTGCCACGCTGTCTGACGCCCGCTCCGATTCCGCCTCGGATAGTACGGGGAACTCGGACTGCCAGGTTCCTGCCTCCCTGAGCAAGCCGAACACCATCCTCGCCGACGCTGAAGCCACGCTGAAACTCCTGACGGACACCTGAAAAACCAACGCTGGGGCGATGTCGCAACGACGGGGCCAGGATCGAAGAAACAATCCCCACGCGGGATGCTCTTGGTGAAGAGTGCCGTCAGGAACTCCTCGACCCAGCTCCCGCTCAACCATTCGCTCTCGCCGATGAAGCCCTCGCTCATTTCATCCGCGCGCGCCCCGCTGCCAGAGGGGGGGGCATGGGCGACTGGGCCACAAATGAGGCCAAGACGCCCCCAGACGGGGTCTGACGTCAGTTTGCCTGAGCGCTGAAAGGCATGCGGAGCGCTGTGAAGGCACGAGAACCACTCCTACAAAGATATGCCAAGCCGGTGTTTCCGAAAAGGGAAAGCAGAGCTGCCGGCGGACCAACGCCACCATACCGTTGTCCATCTGGAAGTAAGCATGGGAGGCGCCAGCGCACCGCAGCCTTGCGACATGGAGGGCGCGCTGGGCCCACCCCACCAGCTTCGGGGCGGCCTCGCACGCCACTATCGGTGACGTCAGCACCAAGCTAGCCGCACACGATGAGCACGCCCGACACCTGCAGGAGCAGTTCGCGGGGACGGCGCTGAACAGGCGCAACTGCTTTGGATTACCTTATCACGGACATCGGCCTCGACCTCGCGCTCCCAAGCTTGGTGCCCCCCCCTGACGTCGTCCAAGCCAGAAGGTCCTCCTACGCCCACCACCAACGACGCATCCGCTTGGGGGAGGCCAACTCGAACCCCCTGGTACCCGCCAACAGCCACCTGTAAGACAACTCCTTATCACTCGACGACAACAAACTCCTTGTGTGTGTGCGTGTGCGTGTGCGTGTGCGTGTGCGCGTGCGCGTGCGCGTGCGCGTGCGCGTGCGCGTGCGCGTGCGCGTGCGCGTGTGTGCGTGTGCGAGTGCGAGTGCGTGTTCGTGTGCGTGTGCGTTTGCGTGTGCGTGTCCGCGTGTCCGCGTGCGCGTGCGCGTGCGCGTGCGCGTGCGCGTGTGTGCATGTTCGTGTGCATGCGCGTGTGTGTGTGTGTGTGTGCGTGTGTGTGTGTGTGTGGGTGGGTGGGTGTGTGTGTGTGTGCGTGTGCGTGTGCGTGTGCGTGTGCGTGTGCGTGTGCGTGTGTATGTGTGTGGTGTGTTGTGTGTTGTGTGCGTTGTGTTGTGTGTTGTGTGTTGTGTGTGTTGTGTGTGG